GTGTGTCTTGGGAGAAGTTGGTAATTAAGATTTTAAGAATGACACTATTATGGTCATATTGAATACTGCCAGATAAAACTAAGACTATCATGCCTACAGGAAGAATGACTAATGCATTTACAAATTGTCTTATTTTTGTATCATCACAATTCAAATCTGAAACTACATCAAGACATAATGAACAAGGCTTTGAGGGAAGAAATTTAACAGATTAACACAGATAATTGTTATAGTTCTTATTTAAGACACAGGTTTGAGGGCAGGAAAAGTTCTCTGATATGACTCAAGAACCTCTCTATTTGGTTTTCTTTAGCTCCTTGGTGAGTTGGAAAAAGATCCCAAACTTGTTTATCACATTGGCCTTACTCCAGCAAAACTTCCAGACCTAGTGGAAAACAACCCTTTAGTCGCTATAGAGATGCTGCTTAAACTAATGCAGTCGAGCCAGATCACGGAGTATTTTTCTGTCCTGGTCAATATGGATATGTCCTTACATTCAATGGAAGTTGTAAATCGGTAAGTTTTCACGTTCCGCCACAAGTTTTTCAAACCCTGATTAAATTACCTGGCAATTTGAAAAGCTGTAGCAGATTGTTTTATTCCTTTCCCTTTTCTGATACTGTTATCCTAAACCGATCCTTAGTGTTCCCTAATGTGAATTTAGCCTGCATTTGTAAGAACTCAGTTGTTGAATTTACTTCTCTGTCTTTTGTGCCCCCTACAAATCCAGGTATTACAGTCCTTGGCAGTCAGTATCAGTATTGGCAGCTTAGAATTGGACCTCTAGGCATTCGGTACTGGAGATTAGTAGTGTTCTCCCAGCTTTTGTTGTAGTTACTGTTTTTTTTTTTAGACTCTACTCTTTAATGGCTATCAAAGAAAGTGCATTCTCCTGTGGGTGTGTTCCAAATAGATTTATTTTCTTTACAGATATATTTTAGGTAAATTATGAATTAAATGTACATAGGCGGGTGGGTTGTTATTTTTCTGAGGTAGTCCTTACTTTTTTTCTTTTTCTTTTTTTAAAGAGGATCTCATAGTATCCTGGCTTCAAACTCATAGCAGGTCCTGCCTTGTTCTCTGAATCTTGGGTTATGGGTGTGAGCCAGATGACTTTTTTTTTAACATCTGTATATAAGTTGGCAACTATTTTAAACTTTAGGAGCTAAAGACAAAAGCTTGGTTGGTAGCTCTGTGCACAAGAAAGAGGTGGGAGGAGAAGGGAAGAATGAGCTTTCAGAATACTTTGTAAGCATCGTGCCAATGGTGGAGCTGGCTAGCTAATTGCTTTTACCTATCCTTGCTGGGATCTCCTTTTAATAAAAATTGCAATTGCTGTTTTTGCATTGGCTAAATCCTGCCATTGGATGGAGCAATCTGAGTGTTGGATTCTCTCCCTCACTGCATTCCTGTAATAGTGTCTTTGGCAATCAGGTCCTAGTTCACCCATTTATTAGTTCCAAGGATGAAGCAGCCTTGCTGCTGATGCACAAATCTTCGTAGGCATATTGCTGGTGGCAGTTTTCTTAAAGTACTTCAGTGCCATATGTTTTAAGGTCAAATAGGTTTAGAAAAGGCACCATGTATTCATCCACCTTTCCAAAGTTTATAGCAAAAGCTTTGCAATAGCCAGCTCTGTATCCTAATATTTCCCAGGCTGAACCTGAACTCAGTTTGGAGTTCTTATCTGACTCCATTTCTTTTTCTTTTTTTGCTGTTTTGGTTTTGGAAGACAGGGTTTCTCTATGTAGCCCTGGCTGTCCTGAAACTCATTCTAGACCAGGCTGCCTCTGCGTCCCAAGTACTGGGATTAAAGTCATGCATCCCTACCTCCTGGCTCTGACTCCATTTCTTATTATTCCACTTAATCCTTTTGAAAATACTCTGGTTTAGAAACTCTTAGGCTTGTTACATAGCTGCTGAGTCTTCAAGACTGTGTAATCGTCAGTTCCATGCCTGTGTTGCTTGCTCAGTTCTCAGGAAGGCCTGCCTGTTTTGTTCTATATCAGTTCAGTAACTTTACCAGCTTTACCAGCTTCATGTTACTTTTGCAAAGCTCCATTTTAGTCTGATTGTATGTTGTGCTGCTTGGTCTACCTTCATCTCAGACACACTGCCTCTCATAGTGCTTATATTTACAGGGCTTTTCTAAGTTTTAAATAATGGCAATAATTGCTGAGGTTGAGCTTGGAAGGGAGTAAGACCATGACTGAGGTGATTCATCCAGGAACACTCAGGGACATAATATGACACTCATTGCTTAATGGGTAATTACAGAGTATATGTAAGTAGAAAGAGTGTCAGAGGTCTAAGTGGTTGTAGCTCTTGGATTTAAAACTAGAGAATTGGGTCACATAAACTTTTACTAGATGACCACAGGGAAATTTTGACTTCATGCTTTTACAGTACCTCTCAATATTACAGTACCTCTCAATATGTTAACAGCTCAAATTTTCTTTCATGAAACAGACTAACTACAGCTGTTGATCTACCTCCTGAATTTATTCACCTTTACATATCAAACTGCATTTCTACTTGTGAACAAATTAAGGATAAATATATGCAGGTGAGTAATAGAAATGTTTGTAACATTATTATCCACCAGGAAAACAAGTTTCTAAAACTTGTCCCTTTTTCTTTTCCAGAATCGTTTGGTGCGTCTTGTATGTGTGTTTCTCCAGTCTTTGATCCGTAACAAAATTATTAACGTGCAGGACTTGTTTATAGAGGTGCAGGCCTTCTGTATTGAATTTAGTAGGATACGGGAAGCTGCAGGCCTATTCCGGTTGCTGAAGACACTGGATACTGGGGAAACCCCTTCAGAGACCAAAATATCAAAATAATACCTCACCAGAACTTCCCCTTCTATTGCTCAACTGTATTTGGGTTCGTTTTTAAACCTGTTGAAATTCTTGAGTGGATTGCTTGCTTTATCTAAAAAATATAAATGACACTATTTACTTAAGCAAAATTTCCCTTTTTCTTAATGAGTTTCCCATGGGTGAATTTTGGTAAGAACTTGGGGAAATGTATTTTAACTCTCTTGCTAATGGAGTTATTCTAAAAATAGCAAGAAAGGAGGTACAGGTGTTTCCCTTTCGAATTTAAAACAAAGTACCCACTTTTTTTTTTTTTTTTTAGAAGACTAACTACAGGTTTCCTAATGCCAGGACCGCTTCTGTAGCTTCTAGTACAAGACATATTCAATAAGAGTAAGTGAAGACACAGAATTCATGGTCCGGTCTGTGCTGAGAAGCTGAGTGTAGTTATTAAGAAGGGTCTGAACCAAGGACATACAATTTTGTTTTCTTAAGACAGGGTTTCTCTGTAGGGCTGTCCTGGAACTTGGCTGATGCAGGCTGCAGACCAGGCTGGCCCTGAACTCAAGAAATTCTCCTGCCTCTGCCTCTTGAGTGCTGGGATTAAAGGTTTGCAGCCACCACCACCTTGTTGGCACATAATTCTTGGCAATGTTTCCTGGGCCTCTAACAAACATGGGCACTCTCAGGCAGGAACCTTTTGCTAAGCTGTCATTATGGTAGTCTAAGATGGGCATGGTTTTTGTTGTTTTATAGACAGATACAAGCTGACATACCAGAATGGTGTACCCTAGATGCCTGTTTGGTGGGGAGGCAGAGTAAGGTCAGTGCTTGAGGCAATGGTTCTTAATTTATTTATTTATTTATTTTTTGTGTTTTTTAGACAGGGCCTGTTATGTAGCCCTAGCTGTCCTAGAGCTCACTATACAGACCAAGATGGCCTCAAACTTAGAGATCATCCTGTCTCTGCCTCTGTGTGCTAGGATTTAAAATGTCTGACATACCTTTTTATTTAAAGAGATTAAGAAAAAAAATTCCTCCTATGGAGGTATTTCTAGAATAGACTTACAGGGATACAATCTGTTCTCCAACATTTGGCAAGAGTTAAAGGAAGCCAAGCTTCAGAACTCCAGTTATGTGACATTCTCCTTAATCTTATGATTAGAGGAGCCTTAAGCCCCTGTGGGAGTGACCCCCTCTTGAGGTAAACAGCTGACTTCTCTCAATGCCCCAAAGTGGCCACCACCATTTTGCAGATGGCACTGGGCAAATAACAGCACACAACCAAAACACTGTTTTGAGAATTACAAGTTTCAAAGACTCACTGTGGGAAACGGCTCTACAGCTGATAGGCCTGTCTAACCCATAGCCCAGGGTAAGCTATAGCTTTAGCCCTACACAAAATTGAAAACTCAAAATATTATTTCCAGGAAGGTGTATGTGTGCACTTATTTTTAAAACTTGATTGTGTGGTTCTTAAATGTGAACTTTGTAGATGACAAGTGTCCTGTCAAGATGCCAAAAGGATGGTTGCATGAGTTTAGTAAAATACATTTAACCTGCAGTCAACGACAGAACTGAAACACGCTGAAACTTATTTAACATGTAAAGCCTGTCACAGCCTTGTTAAGCTGACATCAGATGATAATTCACTGTGTTCATTTTAATTGCCAAGACAGAGGCAATGCTCCTCCCCACACCCCCATACAAGTTTGGAAGGGGCCCCTGCAATGAGAGCAAAAGCACAAGCAAGTCAAAAATTTCTGTACATCAGAAAACACGCTGTGTTGTGGCACACAGGAAAAAAAAAAATCAAGTGTCCCATGCTGATTTAATAAAAATTCTCAAATATGGCCCCTTGTATACAATGAGGGGGTCAAGATTACAATCTTGGTGTTCACTAGGAAAGCAAACTGCTCAGAAAGAGTAGCTGCACTTGGTGAACATCTGATGTACATAATCAAAGTTTGTAGCACTACTAGGTTACTCTAGGTTTAGCATGTTTATACTGGATGCACACCTAGTTTAGTAGTACTGTAGTCCCAGCTATCTGGGTCTACTGAAGCAAGATTGCTTAACCCAGAAAGTTACAGCCAGCTTGGGCAACAAGTTACCATCTCCAAAAAAGGAAGTAGAACTATAATCCTGAGTGAGACTGAATAACCACAATTTACTTTTAAGTATAATTAAAAGAGTTTAATTTAACATAGGTTTAACTTCATGACATCTTTAAGTTCAACTTAAATCTTCAAGTCACCTGTTCAAAAAAAAAACACTAATCAGTAACATTTTAAGAATAGAAGTTTTTTTAAAAACACATTTTGGAATTGCAAAATATAACCACTTAAATAATTCTCAACAGCATTTATTACTGATTTAATTAACTTCACAGAAATGAGATCACTAACTTTACAGGGCAGATTCTCATTTACACACACTGCATCTATTGTAGGTAACATTTCTATAGCAATTGTGGATCTATGATCCCTGTGACAGTACACAATATTCTGAGTAGCTCTTGGTAAACAAGGGTATTTCTTTGAGAAATTAGTAATTAGGAAAAAGCTATTACACATTCATCAAATCTTAGCAACTGCCTACTATGATAAACTGATTTAATTTCATAGTTCTTTTTCTGTAACTACTACTGTCCAAGATTTACAGAAGGTATTGGCACAAGCTTGAGATTCAGTAACTACACAGAAAATACTGCTTTTCTCAGACTTATCAGCCCAGTAAATATATAAAGTTACCATTTGTCAAAACATGGGCTTTTGTCATATTTTCAATGAATGGGCACAGATACTTCAACTCATGATTTTGTTCTAGACTCTGCTGAGGCAAGTAGTGGCATAGCAGACACCACTATAATGAGGGAATAAAATACTAGTATTTTTGGGAATGAAATGTTGGCAAATGTTTCTAAGGCTTTAGAAGCAAGACTGACCTGGAAAAAAAAAAAAGGCATAGGTGGCTTTTCTAATGCAGTGTTGCAGAGCAGCACATTCCATTATACCATAAAGCTATCTCAGCTTTAGGCCAACACCTAGTGCTTAGGAAATGGTAAAGCAATGTTTTCCTGACCTGTAAGAACTGCTTTTGTCTAAAACAATGTCCTCAAGTTCCAGCTAATAATAGATACCCACTGATTAAACCTCATCCTTCCTTGAGCAAATAATACCAACTTGCGCCAAGGAAATTGCTGCCTAATTTAGCTATCTTATTCTGGAAAGGCTACTATTACTTTTACAATTCTAGTAGTCCTTATTTGGTAAGTGTATGTAAACGTATACTGATTCTGCTTGTCAGGGTAGTTAGTCTAAGACAGTGATTATTTTTCTCATCGTGGGAAGGACACACACACACACATACACGCGCGCGCACACACACACGGCCATAGGCAGGAAGCTTCCACCCTGACATTACTGAGGTCAGACAGTGATTCGCTTCAGGAGGTTTTGTCATCGTGTGCCCACATAGAGAGCAAACTGTTGATGGAGACACTGCAATTCGGCCTTTTATTGTCATCATTCCTCAGCAGCCATAGGAAGCAATCATCTGGGAAGAAAGGTTCAAGACCCCAATCAATTCAGCATGTGAGAATCAATTACCTGCTAAGTGAGACCATGTGGTCACAACTCTGGTTTTCTGCAGGGAGTGCCAAAATACCAATCAATACTGCAGAGTGAAAAGCCAGGAGACCAGGAACCACACAGCAAACAACCTTCTGTGTCAATGGACATTGCCTCTTTCAACCACTGCCTCCAATCTTCAAAACACTATTGAGAGAAGTGGTCCGCATGCTTGTAATCTCACCACTGGGAAGGCTGAGACAGAAGGATGGTGAATTCACTCAGATTGGATTAAACAGGGAGACCTTGCCTTAAAAAGTTCTTCAGTAATGGTTAAATCATTAAAAACAATTTAGCCTGCTCTATCACAATATCCATTGTAAAAACCAGCTTCATTCACTGTTAGAACGATGACAGCATTTTTTCTGGTATGTCTTAGAAGACAGCACTAATCTACTTGATAGAGATTCGTATTTTCCTATTGGCATTGACCACAGAAGTTCAGTGAGAACTTGTAAAACCAATTTTGAGATTCTTAATAAGAAAGATTTTCTACTTCAAGAGCTCATCATATTTATCTAGTTATACATTTCCTTCAGTAAAATTCACCACATATTTTACTGAGTAGCTAGAATCAATCTGTAGAAAAATAGCTAAGACACTTCCATGTCTTAGATATGGCTCTAAGGATAAATGTAAGCCTTTAAATTTTTATTTTCTTGGTGCTGGCTTGGGATACCCTCTGCGATTCCCTGACCTGTGGCAGCCCTTGATGCTGATGCCTGTGAAGATGGAGGCATATGGTGCCATAGCGCCGCCCCAGGGCCAGCTCTAGGAGATGGTGTCCATATATAAACAGACACACTTTTGTATGTGACACTGTCAGTTATTACTCTATACAAAGATCTCAAAATTGTACTGGACTCATTTTTTAAATGATCGCAGTTCCAGAGAACTAATGAACCTTACTGGAACAATCCCTATGTATTACGGAAGCAGTATGTTTACATAATATTCCAATATACCTATAGCTATATGAACTGAAACACCTACAGTCAGACTTTGGAGCTTATTCGTGTCGTGACCTTTAGAGAAGGACCTTTTCAGTGTTCTCCATTCTACCATTTCTACATCCTTTCCACTGTACCTAAAAACAGGATTATCAATGGCCTATATGCCAGGCATGCCAAGTGGAATTTCTATATCCATTTGGATACCTCTCTCTAGTCCCAGCAGCCACCCTAGCTGTCCTTACCCACGAGGTGGTCCATACCCTGCCACAAGTTCCCAGTACCCTTTCCAGGCTCCTGTGGTCAGAGATGACATAATCAGTATGGACATTATTGGACCATCTTTCAGCAAGCAGTCAGTGACAAACTAAGATAGCAGATGGAGAAAATGGATCACACCTAGGTAGGGCTCAAAGCCTTGAAACAAAGAAAGACCACAAGAGATGACTGGAAACTAGACGAAATGGTTACCCATTTAGATTAAGAAGTAGCTGAAATTCTTGATCAAACTTACGAATACAGATAAAAGTTTTTGCTCTGGAAAAAATGGAAAACAGATCTGAAAATGATATTGATGAAGTTATTCCTAAATATATATGCAGAGGAAATATTTGTCTTTTACCTGGTAGAAGCCTTGAAATGGAGAGTAGTAGACTTGGATATGTTCCTGACTCATGTTTGTCCCCTGTCCTGTAAATAGTTCCAGCTGAGAGCATTAATGCAAAAAGCAAGGACTGTGGATCAGTGACCTCTACTGACTTGTGGTGTCAGCTAGAAACATTTAAAGCATTCTCTCCTTGGGTTAGAGAGACAGTTCGGTGGTTAGAGAACCCAGATTCAATACCCAGTACCACAAGATGGCTCACAACCTTCTGTAACTCCAGTTTCATCAGATCTGATGCCCTCTTTTGGCCTCTTTGATCTAGGCATGCAGATGGTAAATAGACATACATATAGGGAATGTACCATACACACAAACTATAAAAATAAAAAGCACTCTCAGTTTATCATGAAGTGCAAAATATTTTGAATCAGGGACATATTTTATGTGTCCTTTGGACTGACTTTTATTAATACACTTTTTATCCTTTGTAAACTTCTTGTGTTGAATGGACTGACTGCTAAATAAAATTTGTTACATTTTTTTTTTTTGTCAACAAGCATTTATTTTTGTCTACAAAGTAGACATGCAACACAAGTTTAGGATCAACAAATGACTCCTCACTTTTTAAAAGTATATTTGACCACTCTATAGAACTCAGACAACAACCTTCAAAGGCTTGGGATCATCAAGCAGAGGAAAGATGGTTAAAAGGTCACAGGATTGAACTGTCTTAAAATTTCATTAGGAAAGTTATTTTAGTCTAACAACAACAACAACAAAAAAAAAAATCAAAAATTTTAATTTAAATCTTTTTAATTGTAAAGATTAGATCCACTGAAATATACTAAATACTTAAAAACATCACAGGATGCCTACTTGATTTTCTTAATGAAACAATATTTTAATACTTTTAATGTGCAATATGACATTCTTGTCATTTTTTGTAGAAAAACACAGATAATTTCCTTCTTTTAAGTGTCAAAAGAAATTGGCAATAAAGGTAAAAATGCAAATCATAAAGTCAACTAGTGTTCTTTTCACAATTCCAAACAATAAAAAGGTATGCTTGGTTTTAAAGTCTCTATGGACAATATAGTGCAAGACAATTGATTTCTCTCTCCCCTCAGTCCCTTCTTTTTGGCTTGAACTCAAAATCCTCTTGCCGAAGCCTCCTGAGTGCTGGGTTTACAGGTGTACCCACTGCCTATGGCAAGATTTCTCGTTTTACAAGTTCTAAAGAGTCTCTGCTTCAGGGAAAGCCCATTTGATCAATTACTGAATTATATTACACAATTCTACATAGTGAGCTTTGTCTAAAAGCCTGAGAAACAGAATCTTGGTTTACAGTACCACAGAAGCTAGTCTAGTACTCAGAAACACTACCCTCCACATCTGTGACAGTCTGACGCAACAAAATTTATGATATACATCATACTTCAGTAGATAAATAGATGAAGGCTAATTAAGTCTTTTTAGGAATAAAATATCTCAGCCCTTTGTATATCAAATCTGAATCTGAAAGGTAAAGTAAAATAATATCCACTGTTTTCAAGTATACAAACTATGCCCTAGAGTAAAAAATTAAATGTCCTGTAGTTCAAGCCAAGGCTCTGTCGGTGAGGCTGTCATTGAGGAGGTGCACTAGCAGATGGATCCTCCACGCTGAGGTTCATTCCTGCCGGCTCCTACAACAAAGCATCAGAAGCCACCCTAGGTCAGTATGTCTATCCAACCTTGGTTACATATCTGGAGATAATACTTCAAGAAACAAGTTATAGAGACATTTAAATAAAGCTTACATGTAAAAATGGCAACCCATTTCAAAGAATGCCAGTAAGAGAAACATGTGAAAGACAGGCTTTCTAGTGTGACCCAAGCCAACATTCACATGGTGACTGCCTTTAAAGGACCTCCGTGCTTACAAATTTCCTAAGTGGGGCCATGTTCTTAGAGAAGAAATTTAGTTTTCTTTCTGGCCCAAATCACAGTAGTACAAACTTTGTCTCAACAGGATTCCTAAAAGCAAAATTCCTTACTATGCTGAATATACCGCCTTGTGGTCAGTTCAGTGTCAGTGAACTGGTGAGGTCAAGCCCCAGCTTTATGATCCCGTGATAACCATTCCCTATTCCTTTTCCTCTAATATTGGTCTAAAACTTAAGTTATAGGAGCTTGGAAGATAGTGCTTCCTACCTCAGTTTGATCCCCAGAACACTCATAAAAAAAAGTTGGGTGTGGTAGTGTGTACTTATAATCCCAGTGCTAGAAAAAGTGGAGGCTAGCTTACTAGGCAAGTCCCCGTCCAGTGGGAGACCTTGTTTCAAAAAATAAGGTGGATAATGTCCTGAAAAATGATCCTGTGGCCTGTGGTGACCTCTGGCCTGCACACTTGTGCACACTGCACATAGCACCTGCATACACACATGTGCAGTCCACCCTCCCAATGCACACATAAACATACATAATAAAAACTGAAGTTCTAATATTTCTATAAGTTTTCCTAAACATGTTAAAGACACACTTGGAAATCTTTTAGGATGGTCAAATTCAAAATTAGAACCATCAATTATTCTCAATTAAAATAATTCAAAGATTAATTGAATTCTACTAAAATATTGGTGGGATTTTCTTTTAATTGACAAAATTTTATGGGTATGGGTATTATGCCTATGTGTATACATGTACATACAACATGCATGTCTGGTGTCTGTATAAGCCAAAGAGGGTATGGAATTATTGGGAACCGAAGTTACAGATGGTTTTGAGTCACCATGTGATTGCTAGGAATGGACCTCTGGTCCTCTAGAAGAACAGCCAGTGCTCTTCACCCTGAAGCCATCTCTATACCCCTCTTCTGTTTGGAGATAGGGTCTCATTGTAGTCCCAGCTGGCTTGGAACTCCCTATATAGACCAGGCTGGTCTCACACTCACAAAGATCCACATGCCTCTGCCTCTCAAGGGCTGGAATTTAAGACATCCTACACCACTATCATACCAGGCTCAAAATAATTTCATAATTAATCTTTAGAGAATGCAGAAGAGGGGGCCAGTAAGATGGTTCACAGGGCAAAGGTACTTGCTGCCAAGCCTGACAATCTGAGTTTGATCCCTGGGACCCATGACAGGAGAGAACTGACTATTCAAAATTATTCTCTGACTTCTATACTTGCATGATGCATGCCTGAATAACCCAATAAGTAAATGAATAAATTAATTAAAATGGGGGTAGAAATGGGGATGTAGCTCTGTCAGGAGAGTACTTATTTAGCATACACACAATCCTGGGTTTGATCCCAAGTACTTCATAAAACAATGGTGGTAATGCATGCTTATAATCTCAACACTTGGGAGGTGTGGTCAGATAATCAGAAGTTCAGCTACCTAGGGAGTTTGAGGCTAGCCTGATCTATGCAAGACACTGTTTCAAAAAAGAATTTAAAAGAAAAAAAAAACCACAAATATTAACAAAATACAGGTAAATAATTCTATAACCAATCCCAAGAAGAAAAAGAATTTCCTATTTAGCATGACATAAAAGGCCTAAGGAGAAGCTAGAAGACAGAAAAATTATAAAGAAACCCAAGGATACAGAAATTAGGCACTGAAAGATGGCCACATGCCAGAGTTTGTGCTTAGTATTCCTGAAACTCTGAGTTCCATTCTTAACACTAAGAAGAAATAAAGAAAACGAGGGAGAAGATACAAAATATATGACTAAGGCCTTGTACTTTCAATATTAAATTTTACATAGTTCTAAGAAGGGGCTAAGAACATAGCTCACATTAACCCCTTTCAGGCAAGCCGAAAGCTACAGATTTGATTGACACCACTGCAACACAAAAAATTTTCTTTTCTAAAGAGGCTGTGGTGGTTTGATTAAGAATGCTGCATAGGCTCATAAATTTGAACACCTGGTCCCTAGTGGGTGGAGCTGTTTGTCTGGGAGGCATCAGTGGTACAACCTCAAAGACACACACCAGACTCACTCTTTTTTCCCTCTCTGTCTTGAACTTGTGGAAGAGATGTGAGCTCCAGTGCATGCCTGCCTGTCGTCATGCTCCCCACCATGATGGCCATGGATTCTAACCTTCAGGAGTAAGTGCTTTCTTTTAAGTTGCCTTGGTAATGCTGTTCTGTCATGGCATTAGAAAAGTAACTAAGTCAGAGGCTGAACGAAGAATTAGTATGAAAAAGTTAGCTGAGTTGAGAAGCAGAGGAAAGAACACTGAACTGTACTATATACTGCACAATATATTGAGAATACAGAAAACCAAACAAAACAAGTAGAGATGAATTGAGCAATTCAGAAGAAAATTTAAAAACTTAAATGGCCATAAAAAACTGATCTACTAATGATACAGAAAGAGCATTATACACATTATAAGAACAGTTTACCAAACATTTACATGATACTCCCCCATTCTTGAGAAAAACTTTCTTGAGAATGTATTTATCAAAAGGTTAAAACGTATCTGTAAGTGTGGGACTGTAGTCTTCATTTATGCTTTTTTATTTTCCATTTCAATCCACCACTGGTAACATCATGGTTTTACAACTGCAGCCACATACCTAGTAATGCTGTGTCTTCCCCTGCATCTTCTTTGAAACAGGGGCGGTTTGGCCCAGATTCACTCGAGGATGATGATGGAAGGTTGCTTTCAGCACTCCTGTCCTCATCTTGGGATGTCACACTCAGATTCCCAATAGAAACACTTCCTGGGGCAGCTTCTGGAATAGGTAGCTCCTGTGCATCTTCAGGGTCCCCCTTGAGAGGTAGACAAAAGGCAATGGCTTTCTCAGTGACATGACAAGTGTGGGGTCATTTCCTAGTAAACTAACATACCCTCGACTCTCTACAGGTCATCTGGTGGGAAGCATACCACCTCCTCTATCCAATGTCATGATATAACGGTTACTTTTCAATAGGCAGCTTTCTAAGACCTACAAAGTTTGGTTTGCTTTCCTCTAAAGACAGTTTCCCAGTCTGTTGCAATTTGTATCCCACTTTTTAAACTATTTAGTCACAAAGTGGCTCTTTCTTGAAACTGTCTTCTTGTAGAGTCTGTGAACTTTGTGCAGCCTCTCTGCTGCTCCCTCAAGAGGCAGCCAGGTGCCCTAATGACAGACCAGGTTACTGTACAGGTTACAGCACAGCACTGGGGTGTTAGAGACAAACAGGCTCTGAACAGCTAAAGGCTTCAGATTTTTGTTTATTTTAAAAAATCAGTCCTGTCTCCTTCCTTATAGTTTCTCAGCTGTGTTTATCTCCAATTCTTCCCTCTTCTATTGGCTGCCTTGATGGAAGATAATGAAAGGAAGGCCAGAGATTCCTTTAGCACCACTACATTAAGCCTCAACATCAGTGGGCAGGTGTTTCAGACATTCTTTTTGGTTAATCAAAGAGCTAAGCTTCATGTGGGCAGATGAAACTGCTGGAAAGTGACTAATGGCTGGCAGGCTGTGAGCATGGGAGTCACAGGCACTCAACTTCCTTGGGTTCTCAGACATCTTTGGTTTTCTCTATGAACATTTAAAAACCACCCCCCTTCCTCCCTCACTGGTAACTAGGCATCCTAGATACTCAAACAGTTCTTTCCTGAAACAACTCCTTACACATTGAGCAAACATTCCTGTTGTTATAATGTCACAATACCAATTCCCATTCAGCCCAATCCCAACCTGCTTCTCTAAATACCTGCCAAACTCAACTACCCACTAACCTCTAACCTGATAGTTCATATCCCTGTGCACACACTGAGGTAACAGTCAAAGCCCTCATCAGTCCCACTAAAATATACTCCCTCCATCTTTCCACTGCTAATAGGCAGCGTAAGATCTTTCTTTTCTGATCCAGATGGCATTTACCATGTTCCCTTGCTATGTTGTCTCTCTGAATATGTACTGGCTCCATTTGGCCTGAATGAGAAATCCCCCAAGAGTCTTTATCTAGCAAAGGAGCTATACTTTATTTATCTCTGAGCCACATTCAGTTTAACATCTTAGGCAGCACTCCTCTGATCAGTGCTTGCCCAATGAATGCAGTGGACACAGCTGTAAACCAAAGGACTACCTTTCAAGTCTTCGTAAAGGGTCACTGATGACTCTTGAGTGGTTATAAGGGAATAGATACCTCTAAAAACTGAACATTGAAAGACAGACAAATCCTTAGCTTTGAAGTTACAATAGCTTTCTGTCCTTCACAAAGTAAGTCAAACACTCTGGTTCTCTATGTTCTAGGTTCTTGAAGTAAACACTTCAAGAAAATAATTCAACTTTATATACAATGAAAACTGATTTCTAATACACGAGTATATGCTGACTTATAATCTCTGAACAAAATGTATGAGGGTGCAAGTTGTTGGCTTAGCTAAGAACAGAAATCAGCCTCACATAAATGTCAGGAGATGAAAAGCTGGTTTTGAGTCACTCAACAAAGACAACTTAGCACAAGCTTTGGCGTGCACCCAAGGAAAGGAGTTCAAGACTTTTTCAAGAAAACAATTCATCAATCTCTGTGTTTTCTCAATTAAGATTCTGAGGGGGTTGGAGAGATAACTCAGAGGTTAAGAGCACTGAATGCTTTTCCAGAGGTTCTGAGTTTAATTCCCAGCAACCACATGGTGGCTCACAACCATATAATGAGAACTGGTACCCTCTTCTGACATGCAGGTAGGCAGAACAGTGCATATATAATAAATAAATCTTAAAAAAAAAAAGGAAGAAGAGAAAAAATTCTGAACCATTCAGGCTCAGCTTCTTGCTCAATTTTGGCTTCTACAGTAGAGGGCACGAACCAAGCTCATTAGGGAGGCATGTTATCCCAAGCTAAAGGGACTGAAGGAAGTGTAAGACACATTTCAGGACACAGCAAGATGAAGCCCAGTAATTCTTGGGTGCCAACCTTTTCTCCCTGAGGGGCTATGCTATAGCAAGGGCATCCTGGACCACCATGTGAAACACTCTAGAGTAGGGCATGTCAGCAGCAAGAGGTCTCTTAGTGTTTGCTGAAGACACACCAAGCTAGAGGATGGTGTCACACCTGCAGCCTATGAAGCCAGTCTTGTTCCATGAGCAGTTCCTTAGTGACACTGTTAGAGAAGCTTACATGGCTATTATGGATTAAGGTTGCATAAAATGTTCATCTAGTTTAATGTGCTGTGGGGAACTGAATATGAGGCTTCAATTCAAGGTAAGGAAGCACTCTGAAGTAACATTCCCAGTTACTTCGAATACTTTTATTTATAATACTTTATTATTTAATCAAAAGTATTCTGAGTCATAACAGATCATATGGAGCTCTAAAAAACAAACAAAAAAACAAAATAAAAACCCCAAAACTTAAAAAGAACTCTGCCCTTATCTTCTCTAAGTAGGGAAGAAATAATTTATGCTTGAAAGCTGATTCCTTACCAATTAGCTGTGAGAACCTATATGAAAAGTCAGTGGCTCTAAGCTTAAGTTTCTAATTAATAGAGATAGTAAGAGTGCCTCATATAGAGGCTGTGGAGATTAAATATAATAATGTGTTTAAGACATGGAACAAGCATGTGGCTATCTATTGTTATGATTTCTTTCATTTTACCCTTATATCTCCTTAGAAAGGTCCTTGCCCATCAAAATATCACAAAATAATGGGCAAAATTTAAAACAGAACAAATTTAGCCTGTACTAATAAACTGAAATCAAGCAACAGTAAAAACAGATGTCAAAAATTGTTGGGTATAGTACGTGTAAAATGAGTTTCTGAAGCCAGAAAATGTAGAATGAACTTCTGTTTCATACATTCTTGATTCAGGCTTACATAAATCAAACACTCGAGAGTGTGCACACACGTACGTACACACGTACACACGTACACACGTACACACGTACGCACACACACACACACACACACACACACACACACACACCCACCCACCCTACCTATAGTATACAGAACTATACTGCTTTAAGTAGCTACAAACTGGAGAACATGCTAGCACATTTTTCTGTCATACACTCAGTTCACTGATTTTTTGTGGACTACTGTACAAATTCATTTTTAATACAGAAAACTTCTTTAGATAACAGCAAAGATATCAAAGTAGCATTTTGCCTATTCCTCTTGCCTCTAGTCACTAATAAAAGTGAGATACTCAGGAAGAACCAGGGCAGAGATTGAATATAAACAAAAACGTAACAAACCCAATATCCCAGGGCTTTGATGACATCAAGTTTACACATTGGACACGTTCGGTGATCCAAAAGCCATGGGTCAATGCATATTCTATGAAAAATATGCCTAAAAAGATTAAGTATGTATTAATGTCTGAAAATAAATGTTTCCATATCTTATAAAGAAAATAATGCATTTTACCAACATATCCCTCTATTAAAAGTTAGCCAGCAGTACAACATTGCAGTCTAGTCACTTATCTATTTTCTTTTCTAGTTTCCAATTTAATAGTTTTTGGACTTAATAGTGAAATGTTTTTAAAGAGCGAAAGTTCCTCTTCATTCCACAAAAAATAGGACGGATAATTCCTACCACATACCAGGTTATACATTTTTTGTATCATTTTATTTTTTTGAGATACAGTCTTATTACATCACATAAGCTAGCCTGGAATGTGCTATGTAGTCCAGGATTGCCTTGAACTTAGAGTCCTCATACTTCTGCCTCCCAAATACTAGGATTACAGTCATGTGCTGCAATAACCAACCATTTTTATGTGTTTTAGTAGAATACTTATAAACCACTTAGGCTAGTAAAGCCCACAAATAAGCTACCAATAATAAACTAATCCTCAACTGATCATATCTTCAAAGTCTATAAAATGACTCAAGTGGAAATATATGACAATACCTGAGATTGGCAGGAAGAAGCTATTTCCTCTTGGGTACTTTTATGAACCCTTCTTTAATAAACATCTGTTGCTACCAGAAAGACACATACACGTTCCTTTCTTGTTGGTTTATCTTGGTTTCCTGCTCTTCCCATGTTATATGTGAAGTTAATTAGAGGCTTTGAAGCCAGACAGATTAGGCTCAAGCACCAGCTGTGTGACTAAGACAGCATGACCACAAGGAGCTGTGTGCCTCCTAATCTCTGCAGCTATACAATGAGCTGTTCTCGTATATATCTAGTAACTGTTCATTATTATTACTTTTGTTTTTTTGAGACATGGTTTCTCTGTGTAGCCTTGGCTGTCCTGGAACTCACTCTGTAGACCAGGCTGACCTCAAACTCACAGAGATCCACCTGCCTCTGCCTCCCAAGTGCTGGGATTAAGGATGTCCGCCACCACTGCCCTATTATCACTCTTTTGAAGACTTCATCTTTAAACAAAAAACTGCAGTGCCATTAAAAATAGCAGTTCTTAATTATCTAACAGTCTAGTCCATCTTATCAGTCAACCTTAAATTAATACTGACTCTGAAGAATTTTTCAAAAAACAAGAAAGAAACTTCCACTTTGGTTGGGGGATGTTTAACATATTGCTCAACAGAAAAATAGCCAAAGTAAAAATCCCAATAATGTGCAGACAGTCAAGTACTGCTCAGCGCAGACCTTATCTGCAGAGGTCAAGTACAAGCTCAGCACAGTCACAGCTCCTGCCTCTCTTCTGCACTCTGGAGTATCACTGGGACACGGGAAAGACCTGTGCTAAAACCAGGCTAAAACTCTACTCCTCAGTGCTTTTCTGCAGAACATGATCAACCTATATTGATCTCCATTCATTAAGTGCCTACTGTGCTGACCTTATATAAATGATGACAGATCGCTTCTCGGCCTTTTGGCTATGATCAAGTGTAGTAAATGATGACAGATTTTAGCCAGGCACTTTTCTAAGAGAACCCTTTTATTTTGATACTCATTTTAAAATTTCCTCAACAGGGGTATCAAGAACTTAATCTGGCCTGGAGAGATGGCTCAGAGGTTAAGAGCACTGACTGCTCTTCTAGAGGTCCTGAGTTCATTCCCAGCAACCACATGGTGGCTCACAAACATCCGTTATGAGATCTGGTGCCCTCTTCTGGTGTGCAGATATACATGGAAGCAGAATGTTGTATACATAATAAATAAAATCTTTAAAATTAAAAAAAAATTAAAAAAAGAACTTAATCTATTAAAAAGTACCATATACATAGTAAAATATTTTGTAAAGAAAAGCAAATACCCTAACTTGTAACTTGATTCTAAAATATGTAAAATATAATTGAAATTTATCAAACTTTAAAAAACAATCTAATTTTTATAATACAACAAATTCTTCTGCTTATCAGCAGTTCTTTTAAAAAGTCAATTAAAGTAGCAGATTATTAAAATGAAATGGCTACTTCCCACCATTAAAACTGTTCCTGAGCTACTGAGCAAAGGAGGAATATTCATTTCACACAGCTTCAGAAGGAACTCTCACCCAGGGCATAAATAACAGCAAACTACTGCCTGCTTTGGGGTCAATAAAGGACCTGGTCCTTCATCTTTCTTGATTCGTTTCGGTTGAGCATATGCTCTGCTTCACTAGGTTTATAATGGAGTCTATACACGCCTTGATAAGCCTAAAAGCCAGTCTAAAACAAAGATATAATGGATCTTAGTGGTCACCTAGAAGTCTCTCAAGCAGAGCAATTTTAAGGACTCTTGAAGACAATATGAAAGATGAGATCATCAAAGACCACAAGATCTTCCTATCAGAAAAAGCATGGAACTCTTTATAAGAAAACTGAAACTTTTTAGGTAATTTTTAGTATCTTAGTAGAAAAAATGTATTCATACTTGCATGGCAGGATTCTGATAACATCCTTTACTTTAAAGTTTTCAATACACACTGCACAATTCTCGGCATCAACATCAAGTCCCTGAAAAGAGTTAGAGTTATACACACACATTACACAACAATAATGGTTAAAGAAAAAGAAAACTGACTAAAACAATGAATTCTACTCTATGCTGGAACAACCTGATCCAAAAACACAGATAATCATACTTGGTATTTACTTCTTACCATTCTCAGTTATTTAAAGAATCTGAATGAAAAGGAAAAAAAAAATTCAATGTCTGCTCAATCAGGCATCAGCAATGTTTTAAACAGTATGTTAGTGTTTGAAGAAATATAAACTATTAAGGACTGTAGAAATACAAATCATACACACACTTTGTTTTTGAGGCAAGGTCTCTTGTTTTCAGGCTGGTCTCATGTACACTATATAGCCAATCATGACCTTGATTTTCTGATGCCTCGCCTTCATCTTCCAAAATTTAGATTATAGTAGTGAACCACTAGGCCAAGTTTATTTGGGCTGGAGATCAAACCCAGGACTTCATCAATGCCAGAAAACACTCAAGAAAGTTAACTACATTCCAGCCATTCTTGCTATTATGGTTAAACAAAGTATTTTCAAGTATAAAACTTAAATATTCAAAGAATGTGTTTTTTTTCCTGGAATTATTTAAAAGAAATCTATACCGCTACTAAAGAGCAGTTACAACTTAGAGAAAGTACAAATGGCTACATATCTGAAATTTTACTTCATTAGTGTTAAACTTCCTCTATTAGAATGAGTTGCCTTTTTGCCTAACAAATGAACAAAAGTATAAAAAACAAAAATTGCTGGCTGTAGGCCACATTTCTACATCAAAGAATCTATAGGCCATGGACTTTTTCTGTGAGTTAGTAGGGGTCAGTGTAGCCAGGGCAAACTAAGATTCTGAGACAGAGATTTAGGAACTCAATCAGTGTGTACTTCTGAGGCTGCAATTCTGGCAGCTGCACATTACCAAACATCCTTTAGTTGTTATTTAAGCATATCCTTAGCCAGGTGTAGCAATTAGTAAACCTGATTTAATATGTGCATATCATTATCAGGGACTATTAGAATTAACTTTAACAGCATTTTAAATTCTATGTTGTGATATTTTAGAAAAGATTTTCTTATTATTTTATATGTGTAGTATCCTTGTATGAGTTTATGTATACCATGTACATGTACAAAGCCTCAGCGGCCAGAAGCACTGGATCCCCTGCAACTGCAGTTACAGGTAGTTATGAGAGGACATAGGTGCTAGAAACCAAAGCCAGGTGCTCTGCAACAGAAGTTAGCACTCTTGACCACTGAGCCATCTCTCTAGCCCCTTCAATTCTATATTGTAACAAAATACTTTCATTTATATTTCATGTTATGCAAAAAAACATTTTAAAATTCTTCAATAATTTACCAGCTTACACATTATTATAAATAAATCCACAGAAAAGAAAAATTAAAAAAATAATCACTTGTCTCCAGAACTGGATAAGCTGTAGACCGCAAAAATTCATTTTCCTGTATAAGTTTACAATATAAAAATGCTTACAAAAAAATGGAATTGAAGAATAAATTTTTAGAAATCAATTCAGCATCTAGTTTATAAGTCAGCAGAAGAAAATCCTATTAATATCCATGAAAAACTACACATACTTTGCATGGCTAGTTATTAACTGGAAACTCTCCTGGTGTGACTTGTGGGGTAAGCAATCAGTACTCTGCACCAATTATTAAAACTCCATTATACTACAGTATAAAAGTTATTGAGGAAAGGAATGATCCACCCATACAATCCCAAGCATATCTTAATCCTAAATATACCACAGAAGCCATTAATAACAGATTTCCATTTATAAAACTCACAGGTCTATAATTTGATGTCTTTTAAGAAAAGTCCTTTAGGTAGGGCAAGGAAAAGAGTAAGTGTTTCTCATTCTTCCTTTCATGAAGGTTAGGGAGGACTAGAAGGTGCAACAGATTGAGTCTCATCAAAGTTTAAGGAGATAAAATGAGTAGTATCAACTGAGGCGTTGGTGGTGCACGCCTTTAATCCCAGCACTTGGGAGGCAGAGGCAGGTGGATCTCTGTGAGTTCGAGGCCAGTCTGGTCTCCAGAGCGAGTGCCAGGATAGGCTCCAAAGCTACACAGAGAAACAAACAAACAAACAAACAAAAAACAAAAACAAAAACATAAAAGCAAAACAAAGTAACTGATGAAGCCCACAGCTACAAGGCAACACATCACTGCTGAGAATCGCCCACTACAAGACCAAATGTTACTACATTAGCAAATTTCCTTCTAAGAGTGTATCCTTGAAGAGTCCAGTGCCTCTGGAGTAGGCTTTGTACTGTTCCCTATAGGTTTTGAATCTCTGGAGCATGTCCAAAATGGTTCCCTTTTAAAAATATCTTTTCTCTCCTCTACAAATTTCCAGTATTCTCCCTGTAACTGAGGGAGAATGTACACACAGTCTCAGAATCAACAGAATGAATTTAGAGTATTCCAGATGCATACCTTTTAAATATATAGATAGCATCTTTCCAATCATGTACTTTGGCCCACTGGAACTTCCAATGACAGGAATATCGGCACACGGTTATCACTGAACATATACAATGTAGGAGCTATCTTTTAAATTAAATTTATTTAATCTTTTTTGTTAGGTGGGGTGCTGGGGTCAATCGAGGACAGCATGCATGCTAAGCATGGGCTCTACTATTAGGCCACAGATCTGGGCTATAATTGTAACTCATTTATATTTAAACAGCCATGTGACTAATGACTGCTATAAACGGCCTCTTCATTCATTATATTTCTGTCAGCCTTTCTTTAAAATACTGAAACACACACATGAAGGCTTAACAAAGTGTCACATGCTTGTTACTGCTGAACAGTAGACTGGAAAGAAAATACTTCTCAAACACATAAACATCCTCCACTTGAACCCCAAACAAATCACAAGGAAAGTATTACCTTCTCTCCATGCTTTACGGTGTGTAGTGGAAGCTGGCCAATAACTTTTTTAGTTTCCTTTCTATGATTCTTGGGGAGGAAAACAGTATTATTAAATAGTCTTTTAAAAATAACCCACACAATACAATGTAAACAAAACAGAAAGGTTTTCATTACTAAAACAGTTAAATGATTACTATGAAAATAACTTAGAAAAAGCTTTTAATATCTTAAAAAGCCATATAACTTATAAGCTACTTGATAAGAAAAATTGTTGTTCTTTTTGGAGATAATGCTTTACTCTAGAGTCCTGATTAGCCTTGAGGTCGAAGCAACCCTGAGGTTTCCAAATACCAGAATTACAGGCATGAGCTACCATGCCCAGCTAAGAATGTATTTACTTACTTACTTATTTGCAATTAAGTCACACATGCTAAACAGGTGGAATAGTTGCTTTAATTCCATATCTGAAAAAGAATAAGCCTCCTTTTTTGGGTGATGTTGAAATGGAACTGGAAACTCCTAGCACCAGTGATGCCATTTAGCCACACTTTCAACTTCCAGAAAACAATTCCTCAGTGGCAAGAAAGTAATGATGTCCAAGAAGGCACCACCCACTCTCCATCAGTAGCTCCAAAGAGAAGAGCACTGCCTAGTTGTCAGGCCAGGAAGCCTAATGTGCACAGGACTGAGTGTGCCACTGGAAGCCCCTGGCTCTTCTCTCTGCTCAAGAAAAAGCTTGCCTTCAGATAAACGGTTTGTCAATTACTCCAGTGCAGACAGAGCAGGCCCTTCCTCTGTGCTCCTCAACCTTATGCCAAGCTAGAAAACAGGGCCACGTATGCTCTGTCACATGACCTTCTGCTAGTCCTCTGTCTACAAAAAGACAAAGAAGGTACTAGTACCTGCAGGAACCAAATCTACAAAAAGTGACTTAGATTTAAAAATACACTCCAATTAAAAAAATTTATCAAAGTCACATGAATGCTTAATAAATGAACTGAAATTAGTGTGGTTAAATGTAACTTCAAGTAGTATACAGAATATTTTTATGAGCTATCATTTAAAATAGACCAAACTGAATTAATAAATTAAAATGAATAGTTATCCATAACTACCTGACTTCCAAACTGTGAGCCAGTATATAGGAAACGCTGTATATAATAGAATATTAGCCATGCTAATGAAATAATCATCATCGTGATGAAGGCAATGGCCACAAACACCACAGACTGACCACTGATGAATTCCTGCATATGACGGGTACCAATCCCTATGGTCATTTTTACTGGAATTCCTTTTTGCACCAGATCAAAAATTTCTCTTCCTTTTGGATAGCTAATCATAATGACGACTGTATTTCCTGTTCCTGCACAAAAGAACAAAGAAATGAACAAAGACAAAAGTTAGATAAAATTAAGAGTATGTTCATCAAATACATTTGAAAACTTCAATAAAAATGAGTAATTTTCAGAAAATCAAATACCAAAACTGGTTCCAAACTGGCTGAAGTTAAGAAAATCACAATGAACTATTCTCTGAAAAGCTAGGATACCATTTAGATTCACAAATCAATCTATCATCAGACCTTTAAGAAGCACAAAATATAATATTTAAACTGTTCCACAGTTAACTGAACACTTAACAATTTTCTCTAAGCCAGGTATGGTGGAGATAGCAGACTCTCAGTTTAAAGATAAGCCTGGGGTATACAGTAAGTGAGACCCTATCATGTCTCTCCCCCTCAAAACACCCCAAAAGCTGAAGATATGGCTCAATGGTAGAGCACTTGCCTAACATGTAAGAGGCTCTAGGTTCAAACTCTAAAACTATTAAAAAAAAAAATCTATCTAGGATTATAAAACCAAACATGGTAACAACAAGCAAAAAATCAGATTAATTTCACTTATGAATATGAATGTATAATGCTCCAAACATGCCCATTAGAATTAGGGAATATGTCTACAGAGTGAATTCCAGGACAGCCAAGGGCTACACAGAAAAAGCCTGTCTCCCCCCCTCCCACCTAAAAAAAGGATTTAGGGAATATGAGAACTCGATTGTGATCACCATTCACCCTCCCCAGACAGCATCTCAATATGTGGTTCTAGATGTCATAGTACTAGCTCTGTAGACCAGGCTGGATCCTCCTGCCTCTGCCTCTGCCTCCGCCTCCCAAGTGCTGGGATTAAAGGCGTGCACCACCTCCCCACCCCCACCAAGCTTGGAATCACTACTACTATTAACAATGCTTTGAAGACATGAGCAGCCCTGAGACAAAAGAGACAGGGAGGGCAAATAAATCTTCAGTTTTATTATGATTCTAGCCATAAATTAATGCAGCAACCACAAAATATCAACAGATAAATTGAAAAAAAAAAGTCACAAAGGGGTAGGAAATGATCAGGGAAATATTTTGAATAATGAAAGCTGGACTAGTCTTCACAGTTAAAGTATTAAAACAGCTTGGTAGTGGGAGATGAAGATGTCTACACAAAACCAAATAGGAAAGAAATAGACAGCAAATGATAACAGAAATCAGTAAGTGTAATGGATTACTTTTACAAACCAGATAAAGGCAAATGGATAGTATACTGGGGGAAAATCTCCATGTTTTTCTCATAATGTATGCCAAAATAAATTACTGAGTTTAAAATGTTAAATGTGTTTTAAAAAAATACAAAATCCTGAAGAAATAAGAGAATAAAAAATCCAATTATAAAAACCCACCTAGAGGTTCTTTAAAAAATGATGGTGGTACAGGAGAGGAGAGAGAGCTGACAATGGGAAAATAAAACTGTCTTCAGAGTCAAGGTTAAAGTAACAAATGGCCAACTTGGGAAAAATATAATAAAGACAAAAAGCTAGTTTCTTATAAAAAAAAAAGGTAAGTTTTAAATGTTTACTTTATTGAGAAATAATACAAACACCACAAAGAAAATAAGTTTTAAGCATAATTTGTTGGTCTAAAGACTGGTAAGTGTAGTGCATAAATTCCAGCACTTGGGAGGCAGAGGCAGGCAGATCTCTGTGAGTTTGAGACCAGCCTGGTCTACAAGAGCTAGTTCCAGGACAGCCTCCAAAGCCACAGAGAAACTCTGTCTGGGGGGGGGGACACAAACAAACAAACAAACAAACAAAAAGACTGATAAACATTGCCATCCAATTCTGTACCATTCCATCACTTTAAGAAGAAATCCTGTGCCCACCCAAAAAATGAGTTTAAATATATGAAACCATGTTTTCAGCTATCTGTAAGATCAGCAAAGATGTAAAAATTTCATATATTCTACTAGCAATAATATGCACAAGTCAGCATTTTGTATACTCTGTGTGCAGGACAGGTGTGTGTGTGTGTGTGTGTGTGTGTGTGTGTGTGTGTGTGTGGGGGGGAGGGGGAAGAGAGAGACAGACAGACAGACAGACAGAGAGACAGACAGACAGAGAGAGAAAATGAGAACAAATTACTCTAGCATGGGAGACCATGGCTACCAAAAAAACCCTGAAATTTAGTTATTTGTTCCAGCATATCTACATCTAAAAACTTAGATGTATTAACACTTAAAACATGATGGAATATCTGTAAAGATATTTTATTCTGTGATTTAAAATTTAATTAAAAAATGTTTATTTTTATGCATATTAGTATTTTGTCTACATGTATGTTTGTATACCCCATAAGTTCCTGTTGACTGTGGAGGCCAAAACAGGGTGTCAGATGCCCTGGAACTGGAGTTACAGACAGCTGTGAGCTGCCATGTGGGTGCTGGGAATGTAATCTGGGTCCTTTGGAAGAGCAGCCAGTGCCCTGAACTAGTAAGCCACCTCTACAGTTCCTTCAATGATTAAGAAAATGTTTCAAAAGACAATAGTAAGGATTCTTTTGTCAAAACAAGACACTCTAATGATGCCCTGATAATTTTAAGACTCAGAATCTCTCAATGAGATCAGTCCCTATGTCAGTAAGACTGAATCCAAAATGAATAAAATCAGGTATTTGAGACTGTTCAGGAGGTGACTGGACATGAACAGAGAGGACAAATACAAAGGCGGTCTTTTTATTTCTTTCCCCATTAAGGTATATGTTGCATAAAGACATGAGGCCCTTTTTGGTGCTGAATACTTTTTTTTTCTTTTTTAAGACAGTGTCTCACAGCCAGCCAGGAATTCCTCCTGGGATTAAATATCTGGTAAAAAATTTAAAAAGCTTCCTTTCAGAAAACTCATGAATTTTTTCACAACTGCCTTCCCAAAGTTTTCAGCACAGAAACCAAAATAAGGTGACATTAATAGAAAACTGTAACTGTATTTACCACTGTCTTGCTTTTAAAAAAGTTAAGAACTGGGGGCTCAGCAGTGAGTGCACACCTACTAGGCATGAGGCTGATTTCTATCTCCAGGACCAGGAAAAAAAAGTTTAACGTCCACTTATCAATATCAAATCAGTATACTGAATTTTCCTTCAGTTAGTTTTCAACCAAGTTGATGTTAAACCAATGTAAGCGAAAAAGGATAAACAAGATTAGTGTTTAAAGGACTAGGAAACAGCTTAATGTGTGCTTAGCAAGGTTAAGGCAGAATTTAAAACCAAGTACCCTCTCTAAATATGTGTCTATTGCATGCTATGTGAATGAGACAAACTCCTTAGCATGCCTGAGATCCTAGTTTCAGTCTCCAGTAACAAATAGAGGTGGGAAGCAGGCAAGAAGAACTGGCTGCAAGACAGATCTAAAAAGATCTATCATGTCTTTAAAGATGCTAGGTGCCTCCAGAGTCTACAGAGCCTTGCCAAGTTTGACTGTTAATTGTGCCCAGATTTTAAAAACACACCTTGGGCTCCCTCACTGACTATGCTGCAGACAGCACCAGCATGCTCAAGGCTGTGTTTTGATAATGGGCATACTGACAGGGATAAAAGAATTTAGAAGACTAGGTTTGGGGATAGCATAAACATCATTTACCTGGTAAACAACAATGCAAGTTCTGGTGTGGGGTAAAAAGTGTAAAAATAAGTAATGAGACTCCCCAGATATCACCATTTGGAGGTATCATTTTCTTTTTTTTTTTCTCTATTTTTTATTTATATTAGAAACAAGATTGTTTTACATGTCAATCCCAGTTCCTTCTCCCTCCCCTTTTCCCCTGCCCCCTGAAGGTATCATTTTCAAGTGGTACAAAAAAATTGTTTCTTCCACATGAGAACAAGTTTTACAGTAATGCCTTATTTATTTATTTATTTATCTAATTTTTTTTTTTTTTTTGATTTTTCGAGACAGGGTTTCTCTGTGTAGCTTTGGAGCCTATCCTGGGCACTCGTTCTGTAGACCAGGCTGGCCTCGAACTCACAGAGATCCGCCTGCCTTTGTGCTGGGATTAAAGGCGTGTGCCACCTACAGTAATGCTTCTTAAAAAATCAGTTCTTTCTCTATCATTAGCGTCAGCTTAACAGATTTTAAACAATACACATTGAGGGCTGGTTGAGATGACTCAGCAGAAAAGAGCACTTACCGCTTCTGTAGTAATTTCAGTTAATATAACCCAGTTGAAGGGGGGATCTGATGCCCTCTGGCCTCTGTGGGCACTTGTACACATAAACTCATGAAGCCACAAACACATAAACAATTGTTTGGTTGCAGCACCTTTATAACAAGTCTGTCCCTTAGGCTTCTTCTTGATTTGTCATTTTTTTTCCCAAGTGCCTGCTACCACAATCTAAATAAATGTCCATCAAAATAACAGAGCTATATAGATTACAGTATATGCACAGTGTGAAGCAGTAGCTCTGTTAGCACTGACAGTACTCAAGAGAAAAGAAACAACAGGTAAAGGATGGACAATATGCTATCCTTAAAAGTCTCCAGGCAGTTAGTTGACTGCCTCCCAGATGAGCTAGTAGCTTCTGGATGGAGTGGGAGTCTCTCTTTGCAGAGCAGAAAGTCTAAGTAGAAGCACCTGTTTCAGACTCATAGATGTTTGGCATACCTCGCCTCCTACCCAAATCTCTCCAACACCCATGCTTTGCTTCCCTTTCCTCCCACTTCTCTTTTCCTATAAAACCTAGCCATTTTGGCTATGTGTTCTCTTTGGTGCTCTTGGTCCTCCCCTTGGTCTGTCTCCTGCCTGGCTCGCTTCGGCTTCTAGCTCCTGGTCCCTCTCTTGCTCTCTTCTTCCTCTTGCTTTCTCCATTCTTTCCTCTCATAGGCCAGTTCAGTCTGAACTCTTCCAAATGCCTCCCTGGCTATGTCCTCCCTCATATCTACAATAAATCTCCCCAACCATACCTTGGGGCATCACGTTCTCATTTTTTCCATTCATCTGGTGAAAACAAAGCATAAACTATTTTATCGTGGGGAAACACAGTCCATAGCA